GGCAATCAAAGACGGTGTCGAAGACTGGCGACGAACCGCGTTGGACAATGACCTCAACAACTCTCCCATCCACCGCCTAGTCGACTGGAAAAACGTCACTACACCGAAGATCAAGTTTCAACCTGGCGTCGCATCAAAAAGGCGACCGCGCGAGCCATGAAACGAGCAGGGAAGTGGTTCAAGCGTACGAGAAACGGCGAGAAAGCTGAGCCCAAAGAAGAAGCTCCGGACACCCCACGCGTTTCGATAGCTACCCAGAGGCCAGACATCCGCACTTCGTCACACTCCTACCGCCCTTCCTTCCAGGGCGTCAAGTCGATAGAAGGCGAAGAAGCAATCCAGATGACCCCTCTTCCATACCCTGCCGGACTCAACGGCCACTCGGACTCCGGCGAGCTTGAGCCCAGATCTCGTCCCAGACCGACCTCGAATTTACCACCTGCCAAATTCTACGGTAGTCTAGTCAACCACTCGGCGCAGACACCCGGGAAAGCCCGATTCAAGCGCGATTATTGGAAGAACGTGCAGGTTGGCGACTTCATTCGTATATATAATGGAGCACAGATTCCTGCCGATGTCGTTATCTTGTCTACTTCTGACCCGGATGGCGGATGCTACGTCGAGACCAAGAATCTTGACGGAGAAACAAACCTGAAAGTACGACAGGCTCTCCACTGTGGACGCGCTGTGAAACACGCAAGGGACTGTGAAGGAGCGGAGTTCGTTATCGAAAGCGAACCACCGCATCCAAACCTTTACCAGTATAGTGGTGTTATGAAATGGACCCAGTCTGATCCCAATTTTCCGGAACCGGCGGAGAAAGAAATGGTAGAGGCGATTACTATCAACAACGTCCTGCTCCGTGGATGCAACCTACGAAATACCGAATGGGTCCTCGCAGTTGTTATCTTTACCGGCCTACAAACGAAAATCATGCTCAATACTGGCTCGAGCCCGAGAAAAACTCCTAGATTAGCAAAGGACCTTAGCTGGAATATTATATATAACTTCGCTATCCTTTTCGCTATATGTCTTACCTCGGGTATTGTTCAAGGAGTAATATGGGCCCAAGACAACAACTCTCTAGACTACTTCGAGTTCGGATCGTATGGCGGCAAACCCGCGGTAGATGGAATTATCACGTTCTGGGTAGCTCTTATCCTGTACCAGAATCTTGTCCCTATCTCCCTGTTCGTGTCACTTGAGATCATCCATATGGCCCAGGCCGTCTTGATCCACTCGGACACATTCATGTACTACGAGAAGCTTGAGTATCCGTGCACGCCTAAATCGTGGAACATCTCAGATGACCTTGGTCAGATTGAGTATATCTTCTCTGATAAAACCGGTACATTGACGCAGAATATCATGGAGTTTAAGAAATGTACCGTCAATGGCGTCGCGTATGGTGAAGCTTACACTGAAGCTCAAGCTGGTATGCAGCGACGAGAAGGAATCAACGTTGAAGAGGTTGGCAAAAAGGCCAAAGAGGATATCTCTCACGCTCGCGAAAAAATGCTGAAGCAACTAAGAGAGATCCACGACAATCCATACCTCCACGACGACGAACTGACTTTTGTCGCCCCACAGTACGTCTCCGATCTTACGGGTGCCTCTGGGGAAGAGCAGAAGAAGGCGACGGAAGATTTTATGATTGCCCTTGCTCTATGCCATACTGTTATCACAGAACGTACTCCCGGCGATCCACCACGTATTGATTTCAAAGCACAGTCTCCCGATGAGGCCGCTCTTGTCGCTACAGCGCGAGATTGTGGCTTCACCGTTCTTGGACGGGCTGGCGACGATATTCGTCTGAATATTATGGGTGAGGAGCGTCGTTATACGGTCCTAAATACGTTAGAGTTCAACTCTACCCGAAAGAGAATGAGCGCTATTATTAGAATGCCCGATGGAAAAATTACCTTGTTTTGCAAGGGAGCTGATAGTATTATCTACTCTCGCCTTTCTCGAGGCAAACAGCCAGAACTACGGAAGTCTACTGCCGCTCAATTAGAAGTATTTGCAAGAGAGGGTCTCCGAACTCTTTGTGTTGGACTCCGTACTCTTTCCGAAGAAGAATACCAGACCTGGGCCAAAATTTATGAAGAGGCTGCGCAGGCTATGATCGACCGTGATAACAAGCTCGAAGAAGCTGCAAGCGCTATCGAACAGAACCTTACACTTATAGGTGGCACAGCTATTGAAGACAGACTGCAGGACGGTGTTCCGGATACAATCTCCCTGTTAGGCGCCGCTGGTATTAAGCTGTGGGTTCTTACTGGAGACAAAGTTGAAACCGCCATCAACATTGGATTCTCATGTAATCTACTAACACCCGATATGGAACTAATCGTCTTCAATATCGACAACGAAGATATCGACGCGGCAACTATCGAGCTGGATAGGAATCTCGCCGCATTCAATCTCACCGGATCTGACGAAGAACTTATAGCAGCTCAAAGCAATCACGAACCCCCAAGCCCAACTCACGCGCTCGTTATTGATGGCGAGACGCTTAAATTAATGATTAGCGATCAACTAAAACAGAAATTCCTCCTACTCTGTAAGCAATGCCGATCCGTTATATGCTGCCGAGTCAGCCCTGCTCAAAAGGCAGCCGTCGTCAAAATGGTCAAGGATGGTCTTAAGGTCATGGCACTATCAGTCGGCGATGGAGCTAATGATGTTGCTATGATTCAAGAGGCTGATATTGGTGTTGGTATTGCTGGTGAAGAAGGTCGACAGGCTGTTATGTCGTCGGATTATGCTATTGGGCAGTTCCGATATCTGCAGCGTTTGATTCTAGTGCATGGACGCTGGTCGTATCGCCGTATTGCGGAGATGCTTTCGAACTTTTTCTATAAGGTATGCTCTACTTACGTTACTGTGGGACTTTACTTGCTAACACTAGTAGAATCTTGTTTGGATCTTCTCGCTCTTCTGGTACTCCATCTACAACAACTTCGATGGTTCATACCTCTTCGAATCTACATATATCATTTTGGTCAATCTTGCCTTTACCTCCCTCCCAGTCATTATTATGGGCATATTGGACCAGGATGTTGATGATAAAGTATCTCTTGCTGTCCCGCAGCTCTACAAGAGAGGTATTGAGCAGAAGGACTGGAGTCGCAAGAAATTTTGGTCTGTTCCTTACTTCTCTTAAGGATATTCAGCGCTGACTCTCGCAGGCTATACATGTTGGACGGATTCTATCAGTCCGTGATCTGTTTCTTCATGACATATCTTACCTTCCGCCCAGCCCAGAGCGTCACCGAAAACGGATTGGACCTCGCCGATCGTACTCGTATGGGTATCTTCGTTGCGTGCTACGCTGTTATATCCAGTAACACCTACGTTTTATTAAATACTTACCGTTGGGATTGGTTTACGGTCCTTATCAGCCTCGTCAGCTCACTTTTGATCTTTTTTTGGACCGGCGTGTACTCAGCCACTACCTCGTCCGGTCAATTCTACCAAGCTGGTGCTGAGGTGTTTGGCAACATTACCTTTTGGGCGCTGTTATTACTGACCGTCGTTGCGTGTCTTGGACCCCGGTTCACCTTCAAATCGATACAGAAAATATATTTCCCTCGTGACGTCGACATCGTCCGGGAGCAGGTGGTTCGCGGAGACTTCAAGTATCTCGAAAAATACGAAGCCTACGTCCCACTGTCTCACTCGATGAACGCAATTGCTCCAAGCGGTGACAAGTCCACTGCCCAGCCAGCTCCCAAACGAGATCCAAATCAACCTGACGACGAACGTCCAATCTACCCTCCCTCAGTCGCTGCAACCGCCACAACCCACAACCCACGGAGCCAAAATGGCAGCGATACGACAGCGTACACTTCAAGCCTGGAGCTCCAACCTCCACCTCCAATACAACCTCCAGACCGTGTTCGTCCCTCGTTTGAAAGATGTCGATCCTCAGTTGGCCGAGTGCGGTCGAGTTTTGAAGCCAGTCGTGACTTTACATCCGCGGCAATGTTAGCCCGAATCGAATCCAGTCATGCCAGAGACCAGAGCGGTCATCCTGCAATTCAGGAACATTAGGTGCATATATAAACCACTCTTCAAAAACACCGATTCCACGCGCGCATGTTTCACGACTTTCAATCCTTTCTCATCATATTCGAAATATTCGCCATGTTTTGATACCATTTTCCGCCCTGGATCCGCACTTGGTTTTCCTCGCATTTTCATCTTTTTGAACTTTGGGCGTTTCGCAGTTTCAGTTTTGTATTTGTCTATTTTTGTTCATGATTCTCGCATGATATCAGTCGTCCCTTTTGCCTCGTTGTAATTTTATTTTATTCTTTTGGTTGCGAAAAGCAAATAAATCCTCCCTACACTTCTTACAATGTCTATTCTTTTGACTTTCAGGTTTTTCTTTTGTATAAAGCCGCTTCGCTGTTAAGCACAGGCTCCGTCTGTCTCAAGAAGAGCAGTCCTTTCCAGCGAGAATTTCATATCCTTTTGAACAGGCTTCCCCAGCGTCTTGTTAGCCGGTTTTCCCGGTTTTTTCACCCCATTCGCAATAATACATGCCGACGTACCGCGAAACTTAACTACATAGAAGATGGCGACTCCCAGTATATACTCTGCAAATACCAAGCTTATTTATATTCATTCCTGTATTTCTTCTAAGGCCAGTGTATAGTATATAGGACTCATGATAAGTGCTGGGTGTGTAAAAGTAGCACCGGGCAGGTGGTTCAATTTAGACGCGCCTCTTATCGCGTAACGTGACTCACCACTAAATGCCCACTACTACTAAATGCCCGCCTAATCTTAACGCTCAACTCGTTCGATCAAGCTATAAATATTAATATATCTTAATATAACATAAGTAATAAAGTAAATAAATTATTAGATATGAGGATATGCAACGCCGAACCCACGGGTATTTGGGCGGGTTGGGCTTGGGTCAAATCTAAGCACCCCTAAAAAGCCTTGGGTAAAAAATAGGTGGGTAGGCCTAATTAAAATGGGCTTTGGGTAACCTATAGGCCCTATACTAATTCTAAATATAGAAAAAGTCTAAAAAGTATATTTTTTCTATTTTTTATAGCTTCTTTTAAGCCTAAATAGTGGCCTAGTACTAATACTTTTGATATAAGTATCTTAGGGATTTTTTAAAAATTCAAAATAGATAAGGAAAAAACGCTTACTAAGGCTAAACTTTAAATCTACCTTCCTAATTAGGTAATATTCTACCAGAAAATAGCTTTTCTACTTATAAATTAGCTTTATTAGAGACCCGTGGGGCCCGTGGGTAAAACCTATTTTTAATAGGACCCAAAAGTTTGGGTGCGGGGAAACCCACGCCCACAGTGAGCAGTTTTAAAAAGGCGTGGGTTTGACCCGACCCGCACATCCTTATGTCTACTTTCGAATAGATATATATTAGTCCTATATATATTTCTAGCTACTGTTTAGCTCTCTAGGTTAGGAGCTATCTCTAATATCTTAGTAGAACGAGTTAAATAGATAAATCTAATAGTTACCGCTAAATTATATCTACTATTCTCTAGTAACTATAAGGTAATATAAGTATTTATCTTTAACTAGTATTTAAATATAATAAAAGTCTTCTATAAAGCCTTTAAGGCTATAATTATAGCTAAAAATAAAATCTTTAGAGAGTTCTTCTATATTAAGGCTAGAGAAAATAGAACCTTTAATTTACGGAGCGAAGCGAAGTATATTGTATTCCAAAAAATATATATATAAGGGTCTCAAAGTGCGTATTTGTGGGTCTGCTATAAATTACGTGATTGGTTGAATTCTGAGCATTTGATTGGATACTTGCAACCTTGCATAAGTAGTGGCTTGGCAGCTTAGTCATCTTACCCCATCAAAATTGAATGACGATACTTTGTCATCAACATGTTGAATGGATGCTGAGTCATCAACATGTTGGATGGATGCTTAGTCATCGACATGTTGGATGGATGCTGAGTCATCAACATGTTGGAGGGGTGCTGAGTCATCAACATGTTGAATGGATGCTGAGTCAGCGGCATATTGGATAGATGCTTAGTCATAGGCATGTTGGATCGATGCTTAGTCAGCTGCTTAGTCATCTTGCTATCTCAGAATGCTCGAGTTGAAAAATAATGCTGAGTCATCATCTTAGTCAGCGGATCACGTGATACTCTTTTCTGAATATCTCGTTGGATATATTCGCTCCATTACTTATAGATAGCTCTGCTAGCTATAGGAGAAAGCTTAGGCTTTTGACCTAGTAAGCTATCTATATTAGCTAATATACTAAAAGAGCTATATAAGATACTAACCTCTAATATTAATAGACCCCTATAATAGAATTACTACTAATATATTATATATCTATACTTATCTATAATTATATTAATTCTTTCTTATTCCTTATATTAATCTATAAGCTACTACTAATATATATATATAAATACTAAAAGTTCCCCTATTATTCTTTTTCTTTCTTTATTAAAAACCCTACTTTAACTACTAATTAATATAATATCTTTTAATATTCTAATATATACTAGCTTTAATGACTAATTTAACTTATTATTAATTAATATCTATCCTTATATATAAATTCTATCTATTATATAAATTTCCTTTATTTAAAATATTTATATCTAGACCGAATATATAAGCTTAAGATTTCTATATATATATTCTATTAATTTACGGAGCGAAGCGAAGTATATTGTATTCCAAAAAGTGGATATATAGAAGGGGTCAAATGTGCGTATTTGTGGGTCTGCTGTAAATTACGTGATTGGTTGAATCCTGGGCATTTGATTGGATACTTGTAACCTTGCATAACTAGTGGCTTGGCATCTTAGTCATCTTACCCCATCAAAATATTTGAATAGTAATGCTGAGTCATCAACATATTGGATAGATGCTTAGTCATCGACATGTTGAATGGATGCTTAGTCATCAAGTCACGTGATCTTTTTTGAATATCGATATTGAATACATTCGCTCCATTACTTATAGATAGCTCTGCTAGCTATAGGAGAAAGCTTAGGCTTTTGACCTAGTATATATTAGGGGCTAGTATATTCAAAGGGGGGAGGTTATATAATAGGGAACTTGCTATACTCTTTGGGTTAACTATTATTCTAGTAATTAGAGCGGGTATACTTTCTTCTACTTAGCCTTAAAGGCTACTTAGTAAAGTAGATTCGAGTATTAGATCTCAATATACTACTAATAGTTAGAACTAGATCTCGGCCTTAATAGTCTCTAGGCTCTTATAATCTTCCTATATTTTTATAAACTATAGTAGTATAGTTGTAAGGGGTTGGACCCCTATTCCCTTCTCGGGTCACCGCGCGCTCCGTAATCGACGAGGCAGCAAGGCCTGTCTGGAGATGCCATCACCAGACTCCCCCTTTTTACTCTCGCGCACGTGACCCTCAACACGGTCACATGACCTCAACGCCTGAAGCTATAGCTCCATCCCCTATCACCGACTTCCTTCCTTTTCCCCTTTCTTCTTCTTCCCCATGTGTTTTGTCTTCGACTTACGGATACCCTTAGTTAGTTGAATAGAACTCTCTTCTAGACTGGGGCCGAGTCCGGGTTTTTTACCCGGACCGGCCCGGTCCGACCCGGCCGGGTCGAGTCGGTATTAGGCTTTTTTTAGACTCGGTCCGACCCGGCGAGCCGGGTTAAGCCTTAGAACCCGGCCCGTCGAGTCGGGTTGAGGCTTAAAATATTCTAACTCTCTGAATAGAGAAGCTAAGTAAATAAAAATAGAATCTTTAGAAAGCTCTATTAATTCTCTATTAAATAAGGTTATTAGTAGTTTAATACTATTTAAATTAAGCTCTCTAGCTAAATTTTAAAGAAAGTATACTATTTTTAGAACTATATCTTAATATAAAGCTAGAGCCTCTAATACTAATAATTTTAAAATATAAATAGCCTTATTTTATAGAGAATTACTAGAGCTTTTAAATAATAATATTTTTATTCGCCTAGCCTTCCTATTTAGGAAGATATTACTATTAGTAATAGAAAGTTAAAAACCCGGGTTTTTTACCCGACTCGACGCGGTCCGGCCCGGCCCGACCCGTGCTAAGAATTTATTAGTACCGACCCGATCGGGTCGGTAGTTTAAAGGCCAAAACCCGGCCCGACCCGGTACCGACCCCAGTCTACTCTCTTCGGCCGTTAACAATTATCTACTTGAGTAGTCTAATAGAGGTTATAAATATAGTCTTATCCTAGTCTTCAATATATAGTTCGATCTAGTTATATTCTAATAGAAAGTTAATAATAGAGGTAATAACTATTCCTACGAAGTCTTCTATAAATTTATTAGTATACGGGGGCGTATTAGTATCTTAAATAGTTATACCATTTAATATTATAATAGCGTTAATAATCCTAAAGGTATTCTTTTCTTTCTTCTCTTATAGGAACCACGGGTTCCTATAGGGTCCGTAGGATAGTTCTAGGGTACCTATATATAGTCTTTCCTTTAGTATTTTAATAACTATTAGTTCTAGTACTCTAAGGACTCGGAACTCCGGCGCCTACTAGGCTTTATATTTAATAGTTCTAATATATTATAGTAGGGCGACTTTATATCTTATTTTCCCGATCTTATCCTAAATCTATATAATAATACCTTCTCTACGATAAAGGACCTCGAGTAGTAGGTCTTTCTTAGTAGGCTGGAGCTTATTACTAACTATTATCTTATTAATCCTTTCTTAGATAAGTCTAGTTCCTCGGGGAAAGTTTACAATCCTTAGTTATAGATATTTATTATATTTAGACTCTAGGTCTAGATAGGAGTATATATAATATAGTTCTCTATAGATTTATATCTAGTTATCTTAGCTACTAGATTTCTCCCCGGTTAAGATATTATAGTTAATAGGATTAATCTTCTCGCCTTTCTATTTATAATAAGTATTAATATAGACTCTCGTAGTATAGTCTTCGGGTACTAGTAGAATATTTATTCTTATTATTTTATATTCTATATTTATTATTATATATCTAATAGGGTAAATCTTAAATTTTAGGTTTAGAATAGTGGC